AGAGAAGGAGCATAGTATTTAAACGCGACAAAGGATTTGAGATTAAGTATTTGAGAGATTAGAGAGAAGTATTGTCATTTCGAGAGAGATCACATTTTATATGCTACTTAGCGAAGCATAATTAAACTATTTCGAAATCTTTTGGTACTATGCTTAATAAACTACAAAATAACGTTTCTTATAACAAAGGACAGAGTTTATTGATGTAAACTTGAAATTCATAACTTTTATAATGCTATCTTTCAGTACATGTCGTTCCATTATCTGACAATGAAACTAAAAATGCTGCCACTCATAAGAAATTACATTTTTTTAAGAAAATGTAAATTTAAATTTACAGAATAGTTATATTATAATCGTAATTTTCTTCTGTAAAAATTAATAAAAAGTGGATCTCTCTATAGGATCTAGGGTTAGATGCTCCTGAAAATAAGGAAAGATCCTGAATTATGTTTCATTAAATAATTTTTTTTAAATCTTCTTAATAATCCTTTTTTTCTTTTGATAATCCACGTGTATTAAATATGACATTCAAACCTCACAGTCTACTTTTAATTTTAATATGGCTTCTCCAAGCTGCTCTTCTATCCATATTGCTCCAGCAGCTACGTATATTTTCCTTTTATATATTTTGAGCATATCCTAAAAAATAATTAAATTAATAATACATCTATCCTTCAAATTATAGAATGTCTTATTGATGTTCTATTAATGCATTATTAAAGAATTAAATAAATAGTGTATCTAATTTGAGGTATAGATGCGCTTGTACATAAACAAAAGCAGTAATAGAAAATGTCAGAACAGCATTGAAAATCGTAAAGAAGAAACTACTGTAAAAATTTCAATCAATAATAATGATTAAAACTACGAAACGAGAAAATAATAATATCTTTATTTATTGTTCGCAGTAAGTTGACAATATAAAAAAGAATAAAAACGTATTGTTCACTTTTCACATACAAAAGTTCACATTCTCAATTAGATTCTAATCGTTCGTAAAAAAAATGTCGAGAAAGAATCTATATTTTTAAGAACACAAAAATTCAACTCCCATACACAAATTTTTAATATTAGATATAACTAAACGAAAATTTTTTGCAAACAGAGTAAATGTAAACTCTACTTTATATTAAAAAAAAAGTTTACTAATTTCTGAGTAGTAACATAATTGTATTTTTTAAGACTGAATTAAAATTTTTGATATTGAAAGATAAGCACGATCTTTTTGACCATTTATCCTTGTACCTAAGGAGTATATTTTCTCGAAAACGAGGCCGAAAATGAAAAAATGTTATTTATTTTTTTCTAATTTTTTTCATAAGAAATCACATCTATATATCAAGTGTATATTTAAAGATTTATTAAATCTTCAACATCGATTGAGTTGCCACTTACAATTGCTAATTTTTTTAACACTTTTTATTACCTCAATAACTAAAATACGTTAAAAAAGAAAAAAAATATTTTGTAATTTTAACTTCGGAAAAATCAGTCGACGATAATTTTGTGGTGCTATTTTTTAAACAAATCTTCATCAATTCGAAAGTGTAAAATCACGTTGTGGCTATTTTATGGCATATAATTTTTATACACACTATACATCCACTTTGAATCATTATTTCCTACGAATAATATTCGATAAAGCACAATTTAAATAATAGAAACAATTTACGTATCGGTTTAGATATATATGTAGATACATATTGAACTTAATTTAAATATAATTTGTCTTCGCATATATAAAACTATACATACTATATACATAAAATATACACCATGCAAAACAGATGGATTTTACAAAATATCCCCAAAAAGTTTATTTGTAGAATTGTCTAATTTTCTATTTAATTTCTTTAAATACCTTCAATGAAAATATATGTATATGTAAAAATTCATAGCCTTGTCATCACTAGCTTTACATGTATTGGAAATATCATTAGTTTCATTGGTTCAACATCCTCCGAAAATAATATATATAGATGGAACACTGATGTCATGAAACGTGTTAAACTAATCCCCTATAACCCGACTTTTGAACTAATGATATTAGCATTGATTACTGCACGAATGTCAGTAATTGAGGTTAACATCAATTATTGCATTTTATTGTGCCAGTAATTATTAATTTATTCGCGCATTTAATTATAGGTTATTAAAAGCAATTAATCCTTTGACTTATAATATCGAATTACGCTGGTAACATATGTATATCATGATATAGTGGAGGTCGGTAACACGGTACTCTCGAAATGTTTTCAAAATGCTTGTCGCTAATTACTAATGCGACAGATTGTCCAAATTAAATATATATGAAACTTCCCCATTCTATAAAATTGCGGTAAGGTTTCCCGTACCGTACATCTGCCATTCTTATTTCTTGAGTTGAAGTTAACGACCTCTGTTGTAAACATTCGATAAAGGTAATCCATGGTGAGAATAAATTTTTATTTTAACTTGTAATTTTAAATTCCAGTTTCGTAAAACTGAGGGTCATCAAATACTAATTATGTACTTACGTGTAATTTTTCACCGTTTTCTTCATGAAACGTAGCATTAAAGTACTGTATGCTACTAAATAATAAATTACGTACTTGTTACAAATACTATAAAATGAAAAATCGATTTACATAAATATAGTAATCGAAAATATTTGATTGAAAAGCGTAATAATAATATAGATGAAGGATGCGAAAAGTAATTATAGGTCATACAGAAAATTTGTTATAATTTTCATAATTAAACATTTATTTTCCTCCTTTGCAATTATTCCTAATATACAATTTTTTCACAATGATGTGAAAAGAAAATTTATTACGTCGATATATACTGAATTAAACAATACTACTCGTTGAAATTTGTTTTCTGTCACATTAAAATAAAAAACTTCTAACAGAGTATTCATGAGATTTATTTACATGAGTGAAACATAAAGAAATATCACAAAAGTTGTTGCAAACATGAATTTATAATTTTTTAACTAATTTATAGATTCATCTCCTTTGCACTGCAAAATAATATTCTTCCCTGTACGAGTTCTTTTCAAGTCACACGACATTATATGGATCTTTTTATTATGTATTAATTTGTCATAACATGATTAATAATCTTGCCCTTTTTCAAATAATTCATCTTAAATTTGCATGGTATAATTTTCTTTGTCCATGAAAAAATGAATGACAAATCAGATATTAAGTAGAATATTGCAAGTAGGTTAATAAATTGATAATACATAGGCATGGAAAAATGTTATAGGCACAAAATTTTTAAATTATTCATTTTACTCCACCTTTGTCTTATTTGAATAATATACTAAACAATATTGTTCACTCGGCAAATTTTTTTTATATAATTATCTTAGTTACATAAATCCTATAATATAGACAACCTTGAACTATATTTTTCAGCCAGATAAATTTTTTGTTATTCGTGTATTTGCAATAAAGAATAAGAGCCTCAAAAATATATTTTCAGCAAAATACATTAAAATTTATATAATTAATATAATTATGAAACTTTAGTTGAGTTGATGCAATATTTATATGGCATTTACTTCATAAACTAACTTCAGCAAATATTTGAAAAATATTTGAAGAACACAAGAAATTGCACAAGCTATTCTAATAATACATGAGTAAATAATACATAAGAAAAATTGATACAGAATTTGAATAAATGCTTTTATAGATTTCAAACCTTAAAAACATTTTTCAATAATATTTTTGAAAGCTGTAACAGGAAGGAGTTACAAAACCAACATATACTTTCTAACGAAGAAATAATCAATTAAAACAAAAAGTTCAATTGTACAAAGCTAATCGTTCATCTTGTAGATAATTCCAAACTTAACTCTTGTTTATACTGTTTGTACACCTCTCTAAAATAGAAATTTTCAATACAGTTCATTTGTTTGCTTTATCACATCTATTATGTGATTTACAGAATTCAAATAAAAAATACTATCTTGTTTTAAATAGTAGGAATTTTTTTTTTTTTTAAATACTACTATAATAATACTAGAGGAAAAGCATAACGTCATCGAATTGAAGTATATATCCTCATTATCTCTATCAACATCTATCATTTACTTCAACATTCTCTAGTAATAAGAAAGTTCCCATAAAACTTCAAAAAAAGAAAAGCAATGCATTGCATATGGTAGCCTATACCTCAGCTTCCCTAGCAACTTAGAACATAAACGCTAAATATGCTTAATGCTAAACAAGGTTAAAATTGAGACAGAAGTAACTAAATATTCCATACACGTGTCACAAACCGGCAAACTAAAACGAAAATCTTTTACTACGATTAAATATCGTTGGATGGAATGAACAACAATAGGTGTATCTATTATACGAATATTTCAATGGATATAATATCGCTGTAGAAGTTAAATATAAATCATGGAATTGTGTAAAACATTAATCGTTTTTATCAATCTTTAGTTCTCTCGTTAATCACCTATTAGTCGTTTAAAATAAAGTAGTACCGTAAAAATTCGGTTCGTCTTTTTGTTCTTCAGTTCTTATTTTCCAATAGGAAATACATGTAACATATGATACAATTTGTTTAACGCTTATACATTCATATATTGAAATGTAGAAATTGGTTAAAACATAATGGAAGGTATACATTGTTGGAAAGTTCGTAACATTTAACAGATATTATCTTCGACAACACAACGTTTCTTTGTCGATGGAACACAAGTGGGTAAATAGTCAATCGAAATACAGAATGCTTATACATCATGAGTCTTTTATATTCACAAAATTGGACAAAATTATAATAACTGCGTAATAACAATTATTCAAAGTTCTATCTAATATTTTCTTCATTGGTTAAAAGATATTGCATTCTTTTTTAAAGGTCACTAAAATGTGATATGCGAGCCAATTCATTGAGCAAAGTATTTTTTAGGTATTAAAATCTTCAAAAAATGCTTAAACCGTTATAATTTTACCCGGTACTGTAATTTCATCTAGAAACTTATCCTCGAGGAATTTTAACACAAAATATACGTTCAAAAACACAATATACCAACATCTTAAAGAAGAAGGAAAAAAAAAGAAAATATCTTTGTTGACTTGGAATAGAAAAGAAATCAATTTGAATACACTATAGGGGAATGTATGATAATAGCGTTGCAACACATAGCATATATGTTGTCATGATCGTGAGATCGATACATTACAAGAGCTAGGATGATCTCATAGTAGAAAAATGTTGTATAGTAGAAGGTATCATCGCATACTAAGATCTTCACGATCAAGAATTTCTCTAGCGCTAAAGAAACGATTTGCTTTGAGCAATACTTCTCGAAGAAATAAAATAGTTTTGTTTGCTTTGGAGAACGAACACTAAATGAAGAAATATAGAACGATTCTCTCGGGATTCAATCGTTGGAAAACGATTCGTGCGCGTATGTACGTAACACACAGGCAGCCACCGCACTCACATACACGTGCACACACACATACACCCACACATGGAGATCCTAAAGTGGTCACTTTAACGCAGCATCAAGAGTGTCTCCGCATATCTACGCAACTGCGTTTACTACGTCAGTCGAGACAGCGATTCTTTCCTCTAGACACTAGTTAGGAAAATATCTCTATAAATTCTCGTAACGCCTCATCTATTTCCATACGCATGAAATCATGCAAATCAATATACTTCTCCTTTAATTCTTTAACTTTCTTTAAATCTAGAAAAAGAAAACGTCTGAAAGAAACGAGGCCAAAAAGCCTGGTCTAACGATCAATCAACGAATCAGTCCATAATCGAGTTATCTTTTAACCGTTGTTTTTCAAATTTAATTATAAAATAGCGAAATATAAGCCTAAGCAGTGACCGAATGCATGTCGCCCATCTTTTTAGTTAGGTTTTGCAAGAAGTCCTTGTAGATCGACGAGTCCATATTAGAAGAGAGGATATAGAGAAGCCACCAGTCGCCAAGATCAATCTTCTTGTTGATGCTGTTGCAGGTTTCGATAGGGGTAAGTCGTGAGGATAGTTGAAGTAATTTTGGTCTCACGGCCGGAGCGAAGATTATGGCAGCTCTGTACACCATTAGACCCAATAACAGAATCGATAGGATTGTAAACCAAAACCAGATGAATATGTACGTTTTCTCGTTGACTATGTTCAACGGGAGAATACATAGAGAGTCGTGCGTTTGTATAGTTCCTGATGCACCATATTTGTGGAAAATGCATTTCGTGACCCGTGGGAAGACATAGACCATAGGATCCACGCGTTCCTCCTGAGGAATGTCTGGCAACTGCAACACTCGCAGACCGTAGCTAAGGAACTCACCATCGAAGAACCGATTCATCAGGTACAGTTGGAGGAAGATGTTGATGAGACAGAGGGCCTCGCAGGCGAAATACCGGTACACATACGTGTTATGTTTCTGAAAGAACAAGCAATCGGTGAATTGGTATAAATTGGACTCAATGAAGGCAAATTGGATCTAACCAAGTCTCAGTCTTTCTCCCCTTTTTGCTCCTACGCTCTTTCTCTAAAGGTAAGATTTTTATCGATGTTAAAACTTTATTTCGTACAATGAAAAATTAATTTATCTAAAAAATATTTTTTTGGAAACATTACAATATCGCCAATACCCTGTTATAAATTTTTATACTTTATTATTATATACGTTTCATACTTTACATACATTTTATATTTATATATTACTTATATTTTATAAGTAGCATTGTTCATATTTTACATTTTTGGAATTTCAACATTTTATATTTTACCATGTTTCAAATTTTAATAGTATTTCTAAATTTTACAACTCTTGTACAGAAATCAATTTCCTATTTACTTGAAATACTAAATTGAAAAAATATAATTTGAAAATATGTTATTAAACTCACAGTAAGACAAAAATGTAATAATGGACTTTGTAAATTATTTTTGAATCAAAATATACGATCTTTTAACCACAATAATACTAGACAAATAAACTCACCTTTCTATACTGCATCAAATAATCCATCAGAGCGGATTTCTTCTTATCGATGTTCTCTGAACTATCGAGACCGTGATTCATACCCATAACCAACATGTTGATCAAACCACCCTCCCACATGTTCCACAGCCATTTTGGAACGTAACATAGTATCGCCTACGACATAAAAATATTTTACTCGGTAAAAGAGCATACTGAAATTATATTTATATTGTTATAATATACCGTGTACGTAATAGTAACAATACATAGTAATACTATTAATAAAATTGTATTATATTAATGGATAATTTCTATAAATAATACGATTTGCGAAGCTGACAATCAGCGCGCTCGGTTGGTGAACGCGGAATATGAGAAGCGCTATCGCGCCGCTCGGCATTTTTGGACACGGAATATGACAAGCGCTATCGCGCCGCTTGGCAAATATTGATTGGGAAACAATTATGACCCGTGGCACTCAAACGGTTAAAATAAAATATTTTGTAACAATATTAGTCTATTTCATTATAAGGGGGTATGTATAATGATTTTGTGAAGAAGAAAAAGAACAGTTATCATGGGTATATTATGAAAAATGTAAAACTGTTATTTTTCAAAAATCAATAAAAATCTCAATGATATAAAAATTATTTATAATATAGATATAGAACTATTGAAAAACATAGACCTATCATTTATAAGAAACTTTGATTAGAAGAACGTCGTTAAGCTGAACGCTGACTGCTTATGACATTAAAACTTGGAAACACTTTAATGTGATATCCTCGTATCGAAACATGTATTAATAAATTCCATACTTATATTCAATATTCAGTTGGCAGTATTAATTACAATATCTGATAAATAAATTATACGAAGTACTACTTCTATAATAAACACCTTAGAGTATATAGCGAATATTATGATAAGTTAGTGTGATTAATTAATTTAAATATTTTATTCATAATTATTATTAATTTTTATATTTTTACTTTACTTTAATTCGTATTTGAAAGCAATTCTGGATTTCCATATATTAATCACAAGATATTCCCTGCTATTTTAATTACTTTTATTATAAATATCATATTTAGCTATTTTATTTAGTTTCAATTGTTTAGAAATTTGTACAAATGGAAGTAAAATTATAATTCATAACCTAACTTTTGGAACTTGAATGCACCAATAATGCAAGCAAGTTATTTTATTGAACAAAATTTTGTAAGAGTTCTTAGTATCAAAATAAACAAATGAAAAGATTTTTATATAATACACGTATAATTTACGTAAATTGACATTACACGAAATATGTTCTCAGTGATATTAAGGCGATCTAGATTTATCATTGAAAGAAATTACAGCAGTTACGAGCAGTATTTCTATTTCTCTATATTTAACACTAAACTTAGCACGACTAGTCAAATTGACCGATGGATGAAAAAAAAAGAATCTTAAAAAAAAAAGAAAAAAATTGGATTAAAAGAAAATATTGAAAAATTAATTATATGTATACTAAAAGATAAATCACGTTGGTAAATGACCAAAGCGATAATAATGTACGCGAAATTTTAAATCGGAAGTTTAAAAATAATTTAAGCTGTACTAGGTTAGTGTTAAATAACCTAAAAATTTGATTAAATTCTACTCCAGTTAATATCTACATGAAAAATACTAATTAAATATGAATATATTTAATTAACCCAAAATTCGTAATAAAAAGATATCTAGAAAAATACTGTGCAAGCATAGCTTGTTTTCACTGTATAACTCGTGCATATATCGTTAACGATGCATTTGAATTCAGCTAGTTTCGTGATTTACCGTTAGATGGACAAGCATCGAATAGAGGAAAGCTAATCGTCGAAGCAGTTCTCGTGACAATCAACGCCAAAAAATGACAGCGCTGCAAAAGGGACGAGTTATCAGTGGAGCAACGATAAAGTTTTGACCGGTCGATCTATGGCGTTTGTACATTCGCGCTCGCTAACCAGTTTCGGATATCCAATATGAGAAAGGTGAGAACAGCAATGCCGGTAAAGAAAAACCTAAACCGAGAAGGCGCGCGCAGCTGTTGCGCCCGAGCTTTATCTGTCGCGTGTGCAAGATAACTGATAAACGAGTCTTTACCTGGAAGAATAACACGAAGCACACCCACTGGTAGTAAGTATAATATTTCCTCGCGTCCACGTCGCCGAAGTCGTTCGCCACTCCTGGATGCGCCACCTCTAGACCAACCTGAAGAAACAAACGCTTTGTCAACAATAGGATAATGACGAAAGAGCGCAGGTGCGGTTGATTGAATTTATATCACCGCCGTTTCTGCAGTTTAATGGTACAGGATGTATCAGAAATATCGATTACAATGGCCTAAGTTATACAAAATGGAAAAAGAGGGAAAAATTAATCATTACTAAGGGGTTACCAATTCTATGAGTTAATTTTGATTAGAGGTTATACTAAAATTCCTAAGGACACATGCGAATGTAGTATATCCGAATATCAATCATGACACGCTTTTAAAATGTTTAGAGTATTAAAGAATAAAATACATAGAATGATATAAAAATTAAATGTAAGGTTCTTATGAGATCCCATGTTTTAGTTATTTATTTTTAATAACAACCAAAGTTGTATAAAAATTCCAAGGTTAACATAAGTATACCGTAATTATGTACTAAAAATTTTACGAAGTACATTAAAGCTCTATTATGAAACTTGAACAATTTTTACCATTTTTTTTGGTACATCCTATATACTATTATGGTATGTCTATAAATGTATGATAAATATAACTTTGATACATATTCTAATTTATTTCTGTATGCTAAATAATGCAACTCCACTTTCTCTAATAATTCTGTAACTTAAATTAACATTAGTCACGGATAGTTCTTAAATTTTGTCTTTTAAATTTAAATCTTATGTACAAAATATAGCGATGTTAATTTTTTAGTATAATTAATAGATTTACATATGTATAATAGATATATCGTATAGTATAAAATTGAAAATATGCAAATTATTATTAACTAGAGAAATATTATAATTAATTTTTCCACATAAATGTTTATGAACTAAATATTAATATATTTAAATAAACATTATTTTCTGGAATATTGTTACAACTTTTTACCTCTGTAAAGAAATGTTTTTAAAATAAACAATACAAAATTCAGAATATGATTTTACTATAATATAAGATATTCTGCTATAATCTGTAAGTTGGCTGAATATCTCTAAATTAAGTAACAGAGTACATTAATTTGATCAGTGATATGTGTACTTTATAAAAAAATAATATTTATGATTTGTCCTTTGTGTAAATTATTTAATACGTAAATAAATAATATAAATAATTAACTATATACATTAATTGCATATGTAATATATGTGTAAATACCTGTAAAAATTGAAATATTTATCCAAAATATTTATTTGCATTATATTTTTATATATAATATACGAATTCAAATAAATTTTAAAATTCCTAAAAAATTAGAAAACATACGAGGTTATAGAAAACAAAATGAAAAATAGATAACCTTGATAACCCAAAATATTTAATCATTTTATCTTTTCAGCCAACGGGTAATTATATTTTCTAATATTAGTAATGTTTTTTTAATATCCAAATATCTTTTCAAATAATATATAAATATATAAATAATAATTATTAAAAAAAAATATAAAATTTCTAAAACTTTCGTCTATGTGCATATACATATATGTATACAAATCATAATTTGCCTATGATCGCTATAGGACATATTTCTGCTTTCAAATAGAGAAAGATAAAACGTAAACATTTATGCCACAAAAATGCCTGACATTTAATGAAAATAATCTCCTAATTACATAAAGTATCGTAATTAATACTTAAAATTAAATTATTAAACGACGATTAAATAATCAAACGATAACATAAATATTACGTGTACCTGCAATACAAGGAAGTGCGGAAGTATGGAATTGTGGTAATGACTTATACGATAAGAAGCCAACAAACGTATAAATATTCTCGTTAAATATACATTATGCAATGACTCATCCATCGCCCAAGATAAAAAAAATTCACGAAACGTTTTTTATACGTATTCCTCAAATTCTAACCTCCGCGACACTAAAATAACGATATATTCTATTTTATCTAAAGGATGAACGAATTCAATCGTAAAAATATTTTCGTACCGAAAATCGGTCGATACAACATGTTTCTACAGTTATCAACAACTCGTACCCCACGCTATCCATTAACATTCCGAAGGTTAGGAACAAGTGGTTCGAACGATGGCCGCGATTAAAATATGAATCCGAGTTGAGAAATTAGGGGCGCAGTCGTTAAACTAGATTACCCACCTGCCGATTAAATGCGTCCGGCATGGTAAACGTAGAAGTTATCCAGCAATAAGTATTGATAGCGTGCGTGGGTAAACCCCGAACGATACAGGAGATCGGATTGCCAACGTATTGGGTGGCCGTGATCACCATCGAACACGTGAAAAGCAGCACCGTTGTAAAATGGTTGTGTAACCGAAACACCATCGAATCCGTCGTAATTTCCTGCCATTTCAAGTACTGTCCGAGACCCCCTAGTAGCTTATACATGATTGTTTTGTTCGATCGAACGATGCGTCGGGTTGTTTACAATCCTTGAACGTTTCCTTCTCGTTCTCACGATTATTCTCACGTGGTAATTCACGGATAAAAAGAAACCAGGAAAAAAAGAGGAAGAGACACCAGTTGGGAAAATTGTATGAACCAAAACTTCCGCGAGTTCTCATAAACCGCGCTCAGGCTCGAAAAGCGGTAAAACGAAACGAAACAGACACACGATCGTACGGCTGTGTCCACGCGGCGTGCCTCCCTCTTTTCCTTTTCTCTCGTTTCTCCTTCTCCTTCGACGTCCTTCTTCCTTTTCTTCCGCCCTACTCCACAAGTCGCTGTTTCTTGTTCTTTCTTCCAGGCGAAGGGAGCGCGCGCGCGCGCACACGCGATCGGTCACCGAACCACGTTGAACGAGATCGCGAACGGCCGCTCTAGGCTTTATACACACACGGCTGTCCTCCGGTAGGAATTTAACTCTGAGACGCGTAGACGAAACGAACGTGTCTTATCGACATCTTTCGCTGCGAATCGATCGATTCCAACTAGCTCGACACGTTCAGGTGGGTCGCAGTAAACAAGTAACTATACGCGCCGACAGGACTCGACCGTTTATTTTTTTCTCCACGTGATCTCTTTACGGTTTTCGTTGATAGGTAGAGCTACATGCAATCGAGACGCGCGCAGGTTTCCTCGGTCTCCGTAGAATCGCGCGACACCGCGCTGCCGATTCGATTAATTCCTCGCGTCGTGTCAGAGCTACGACACTCACTGTCAATCCTGTTATTCTCCCGTCGGCTGATGATTTCTCGCCGAGAAACACGATCTGACGCAAAATTGTGCAACACCTTGAACTCTCCCGGCGTGCCGCGAGCTCCCTCTTTCTTCTCCTCTTTCTCTCTCTTCTGTTTGCGCGGCACTTTTTCTCCCGATATATCGTGCAGATAGATCGTACGATGAACGGGTTGTGAGCAGCCAACACCGAATTGTGTCGGCATATACACGTATGTACGTAGCAGTCTTCAACGTCGACTGACGAGAAGTCAGTGGCTTGTTGTTCAGCCGAGGGGCGAGAGGGAAACTCTTTCGATCTGCTAGGGGGACTGCCGGAGTAGAAACGAGTAGGAGAGGGCCCAGGAGGTGGGGATCGAAACGGTGGGGGACCGACGGCTGCTTCAAACTCCCCCCTTTACACCACGACACACTGTATATGTACCCTGCTTCCATAGTGCATGCTCCTGCGTCCAACGATGGCTACTGTTGTACATTCGATTCTCTTTGCTAATTTTTAAACGATTTCTTTCTACGAATCCTCGTTTCTTTTTATACGCGTATACGTCGATTTATATAAATCTCAGAGCATACAAGGATATCGTAAAACAGTGATTCTATTTCCTTCTTTGCTTTCTCATTTTTTTTCGTTTTTTGCTTTCGTTATTTACCATAGAGAGGATAGACACGCGTGGCAACACGATTTTAAGCATGCGGAGCGATACTTTTATTATAACAAGTTAGTGTTTTAATCTTTAATAAATTGAAACCATTGAAAGTAAAAATTGTGGAATATAAAGAAATACTTTTACTACGTTTCTAGGTTAGCAATTAGAAATGTAAAAATTATGGAATATAATATTTTTACTACATTATTAGGTTAACAATTAGAAATATAAAAATTATGGAATATAAAGAAATACTTTTCCTACAATGTTAGCTTAAGAATTAGAAATGTAAAAATTATGGAATATAAAGAAATACTTTTCCTACATTTTTAGGTTAATAATTAGAAATGTAAAAATTATGGAATATGAAGAAATTCTTTTACTGCGTTTGTAGGTTAAGAGTTAGAGATAGTGGTAAATACGTTCTTTTATTTTTCATTTTTTAATATACATATGTATTATGCAATTAATATTATATACGTAAATAAATATAATTAATGTCTAATTATGTTTTTTATTTTAAGTTTGAAATAAAATGGTAACTTGTATAATCTAACACGATAATTTTACTAAAATGGAAAAATGTACGAATAATTTTTCAATCGATTAAAGATATTAATATCTAAGTTAATCTATTCATTAAAAAATACAAAATTTAAGTATATTAACCAAAGTTTACGATTAAAATTTCCACATTCCTATTTTCAAATTTTACCCTCGCATTCTTGAAATAACATTCTTCGTAGAAAGGTTAAAAACGATATTACTTTAACCTACAAAAATTTTGTATTTATTTAAGGTTATGGAAGCTTTCGGATTATTTCTTTCGATAATATTCGAACTAGAAACTTTCGTCGTAGTGATTTAAAGCGTCTTGACACCGCCATTACCTACTCCCGTTACTTCGCTTGCTCGTTTCTCCTTTTCTCTTCTGGTCAGTGCTCGGTCGCCTCGAATATCATAATGAAAGTAAATCGGTTTAATTTGATCGTTAAATTCAATTGAACACTGAGGTTGACAAGAGGATCGTACGTAGGATTTGCATGAGCGCTGTTTGCGCTCTAAATGGCAATAACATGGTTCTTAGAACTATGATATATCTACATATGTATGCGGAATTAATGAATACGTTGAAGGAGAAAGTCGAAGGGGGTTTATGTACGAAGATAGACATTTTTATCTGTTGCATTCTTTCACTGATTTAGGGTGAATTACGACGATAAGTGGACCAAGGCAAACCATGTTTATTATGCGATATATAATGTTTGTAAACATGACAAAAAATAACTACTTTTTGAAATAATGAATGAATATTTTTCTCAATGTTTTTCTCTGTCTTGTGTAGTATTTCACACAAGAATATGCAGGAGTAAAAGTGGTGCTAAATATTTGACGTTTATGTTAACCCTGTTAGTGTCATTAGAGCATATTTGCAAATTGTGACTGATGACAGACTATATTGATTTCTAAATGTATAGTGAAACAACGAAATTTATTGTTTAAACGTTATAATATTGAAATCAAAAGTAGGAAAAGATGAATGAAATTTGTTATACTTAACAAAGATGATATACTTAATAAATTATGCATGGTTATAAATTTATATAAAGCGCAAAGAGCGAGTTGCCAAATTATGTTAATCATGATCTATATCAAATATCAATACAACAAAAGAATTTAAGCATAAATATTAATGACAAAAATTACTGTATATAACAATTACAAGTAAAGACTAATGTTAAAAGTACAACAATAAAATAAAAATAACGAAATAAAATTTAATAGTTATAAACGATATTAATAATTAATAATGATAGTAAAAGTAATTAGTCCGTTGGAAAATAATTTATTAATTTTTAGATTTTTCATTAAAACGTACTAATTTATCAGTATATTCCGTAAATTATTTAATTCCAATACAGTTGTAAATAAATAAAATACAAGGTGAGTGAAAAAAATAAAATTTACATAATATAGAGAAACAACCAGAAATTATATGACACTATAGTGAGTTGTAATAATTTATTTATATTTATATTATATATATGTTATATAATTTATTTATATATATATATACATTTTTATTTATATTTATTATAATAAATTACAATAATGTACTGCGATAAATAATAATTTAAACTAAATTGAATAATTACATTTTACTAATTTTTGAATGAACCAAGTATTATGTAATTATTAAATAATTTCTATTTTCCATCTTATATATTTGTGATCACAAATAATGTCAATACGATATACATTTTAGTCCTACAATGACAATGATACGTTTTCTGACGTCCACCTAGAATTACATTACATGTTCCATGTTCCATGTTAATGTTCTTTGGATTCAATTATAAGGACAAATTTGCGTGTGAAACTGCACAGTGCGAGGAACACTACACGAATTATGCAATCAATATTAGCAATTTTGTGCTGTTCGCTGGTTTTCTCTCTCTCTAGTTCGTCGCTTTTATCCTGTCGTTTCACAAAGGGAGTCTGCTGTAATTGTGTACGTGACCAGATGCACGGCCCTGAAAGGACTGCATTTTACCCTACGAAACGGAAATACCAGCAACTCTCGTACTGCACCGTCATTTGTTTAGGATGGCGTTGGTGCTGAAATACATGTATGTGTGTGTGTGTGTGTGTGTGTGTGTGAGTATTAGGTTGCCGCAGAAATAATGACTGGTTTTACGAGTATTTGAGCGTAGAAATTTCTTAGGCCATTAATACCCTTCTTCCTAATATGTTTAAACTTTATATTAGTCCATTTTCTATATAATATTTATATACAGATTTTTTATACTGCATATATAAGTACATATGTGATTTAAATATGTATATGTATTTTTTAATAATGTATTTCAAATATATTCGAACAATATATATTTTTGCACCTTATATATATATTATAATGCATATATAATTAGTTTATAATTTTGGAGAAATTATATTAAGGATATTTGAGAATTTTTGGTTTCTATTTTAAATTTGTAAAAATTGCATTATTCTGTAAAAATGTAAATGTATGTAAATGTATGTAAATATATGTAAAAATATAATACGTACATACATATATAAAATACTTTTTGAAGTAAAATGTTACAAGTTTAGTTCAACTACAATTTTGCATAAAACATGTGTGTTACAATAAAATTTTAGTCACAATATTTTATTTTACTATACAATAGACTAATTATTTATAATTTTAATATAATAATCGAATTTACCAAAAGGTTATATTAACTTCATAGAAACGAAACTCAAAATTACATTTGAATATTCCAGATAATGTTTAATTATAGAAGAAAGAAAATATTTAAATTTAATTATACATATTTGCTTAACGTATTACTCTTCAAATCTTCCTTTCAAGAGAGTTAAATATGAATTAAAATGAAGTTCTATTTACAGAGGCATACACACTTTTCAGTTTAAAAATTTCATTTAATTTTTAATTATTGATATTTTGCTTTTGCAAAATTTTATTATATAACATAACTTTATTATGAAAAATTATTTTAACAATTTTTTCACGAAGCGTAAAGTTTAATTTATTAATATGTACTGTATGTTTCCAATTTTGCACTCATGATAAGTCCAAATATCTGGCGCTATTAACACTAAAACGATCGACTTGTGAGATGTATCTAAATATAGTATAAACAGATAATGATAATAATTAAAGTAAAAATTATAATGAAAATATATAGGCATATGAATATATACAATTAAATTTCAATTTCTACAAAAATGATCGATAATCAGTTGAAAGCAATTGCATGCTTTCAATAATTGCATAAATAAAGAGTCTAAAATCAATTTTCATCTTGACCAATTTGGTAATTATATTGTTAATTTAATTTTAAACGAGTGCAAAATTAATCTTTCTGTAATATCGTATACAATAACATTCATTTAAAAAATGACACCGTTACCACTAATTTATCGGTGTATTTTTCAATTTTGTTTATAAAAATACTAAGATAATAATAAAAATCGTTTAAACTATAAATAAACGAGAGAATTTTTTCTCATTTGTAAATACAATTTTTTTAACTATCTTTTTCTTCATTCCACACATTTCTTTAAATGTGTAATAGTGTAAGTAATGTAGCAGAAGCTTATGTTATTAACATTAATTTCTTTTGTCGTTTGATATCTATAGACTTCTGCATATATTATTATTAATATTATTATGACTGGTTTGTAATTTCGATCACGTATTAAAAGAATTTTCTAGATCGGGTAATAAATCTGTCAGATTTAAATATAGTAAGGAATCGTAGAGGACAGCTGGTATAAGCTGCTTAAACAGATTAAAAACAGTTTAATGACATTAATGAATTAAAACATCGTCTTATAAGACTATATACATTTGAAATTAGTATAATACGTTCATTCAATTTACTAACAAGATTACAATTACATTTGAGATTAACAAAACTTTTACTTAAACGTAAGAACTAAAATAATTCAGAATAGGAATGAATTTGTGAATTTTTAAGAACCATAACTATATTTAATTGTTCATTTTTCATTTTTCGCCCTTACATCAAAATATCTTAATTTCATATGTAAGTATATTTTAATTTTATATCGATTTTCCTTATTTTACAAATT